AAAAGTGTTTTTCAAAAGATTTTAAGAGCTTCCCGTAAAGTGCTCCTTGTAACGGAAGCTAAGTTTGCAAAAACGTTTGTGTACTGCTTACACTCGCGGCTAGTTTGTTGCAGCGTTCCAACGTGCGAAACTACCCTGCACGTTTCGGTGTCTCAGCGACGCACGTTTTTAATGCCGCCAAAAATTTTTTAACACAAGAAACGGCAAAGGATGTGCTTTAAAATAGTGTTTGTTTCATGTTGAAATTCTATGTACCAATTGGGTTTTTTCGATGGTGAAGTTAGGTCAAATTTACCATTTTTGAAAAGAACCGAAATCGTGTTTCTTCTTGCGGGCGACTCGGTCCAATTTAAACAGCTTATCTGAAGATAATTGCTGAATTATAAAGTACAAGTCTGTGTTTGCTTTGTGACTTGATTTCATTGAGAGATATTATCCCGTTTTTACGTACGAACGCAAAGAAAATGCTTAATTTTCGCTAATTTCATACTCGAAAGAGCGCCGATTTAGCGTTTTTCAAACTTTGCCCGATTCAGGAAAAAACAAGAATCGCCGAAAGGCGATTTTTAACTGGGCTGCCAAGGGGCTATTTTTTCTGAGGGGAGGGGGCGGCTATACACACTCAGGCTACCATAAAACCTTGTCGGCAACCATTGCATACGACAGAACCTCATGTGAGACTGAAACATAAACTCATTCAAAACATTGTACCCTTTTGAAAGACTTTCGTAACCCAAAAAAAGGAGTACCATTTTTAAGTGGGGGCTGTATAATAACTTTTAAATTCCACCACTATGAATAAAAATAGACAAGTTAGCCATTAATTCTAAGCAGGAAACAATTTGCATTATTTCCACGTACCCCTCCCCTAATCCCTCTTTGCCCCAAAATATAGCGTGACAGTATAACGTGACATAACTGGAAATTCCAAAAATTGTCGTCGTTCTACGAGTATAATGAGCTGATTTACACTAGACAGAAATATTGTATTATATCAAAACCAGAAGTATACTAAAACAGATAGTTAACTGCCCATTGATCCCGCCTGATCCAGGGGCCTCACTGACTGCACGGAGACTGCGCTTTTCACAAACATGCGAACTCTAAAGTTCAAAAGCCACCTTCACAATTGTGTTTATCGCTGCCGTCAATCATAATTACGATCAAAAGCAACGAACCTTGAAACAGAGAAACACACAAAACGGATCGAAATCCACAAATCACAAACCATGACCTTTTGAACCCGTGAAGTAGAGTTTTGTTTCCTAAGAGGTCCGTTAAGATGATTGACAGCAGCGAAAAACGCAATCGTCGGTTGGCTTCTGTGAAAAGTGCGATCCTAATTTGTGGTCCACAGTTTACAAGAAAACGCACTATTTTTTCCACAAGAAGAAAAATATTCAGTTTTAAGATTTTCCTCATGGTATTTTTCTCTAACTTAAAGGGAATAAAATCCTTTGCATTTTGAGACCTAAAAGAGTTTAAAGACTTCTCGCTCGCATGTTGCGTTCACCAGCACGCACTTCAAACAATGTAAATAGATGAAACGATCGATAACAAATTTTTTACCTGATACCGATGCGAGTTAAAAATTCGCTCCAGTTCTGTTTGTCTCACCCAAGACGAACTTTTCTTCATGGAAGATAACTATGCCGCTTTATAACTCGTCCGAAGTTTTTGTGCCAGCTAAACAATATGGAAACACTATTCACAGTGACTCCTTGGATATTAAAAAGACTGAACGTGACGCACTACTATGCCTTTGTTTACTTCTGATCACTTCTTCAAGCGAAGTCTCTCTTTTCAAACGATTCATCTCAATGCACAATAATTGACCCTTATATTAGTTAAAACCCTATGGTTCATTTATATTAATGCTGTTTTTGCCCCTCACATTGACTGTGTTCGTTCGTATTCAAAACACCTTTACGAAAATAAAGGTCGTATAAGTCATGTGTGTTATGTTTCGAGATAAATGGATTATACGCTTTTTTAAGTTTCCATTTTGCGGTGACTTCAGTTAACATCTTCATAAAATGGTAAAAGAAATATCAAGAAACATCACGAGAGCTAAAAAACTTTCAAAGGCATGTTTCTGAAACTCGCTAATGCTGACATCAATATAGCGTGCTTGCTGAATGGGCGAAAACACAGAATTGTGATCACAAGATCATGTACAAATTTAATGATAAAAGCTTAGCAAGATACAAATACAAACAAAAGCAAAGCCCCTGAAACCTCGACGTGGGCTACACTTGTATGCTCTACTCAGTCACCAAACCTTGTCAGTAATAGCTCCTATTTTCCTCAAGTCGCTCTCTGTGAAGCTCACGGATGGGATGTTCCGGTGAAGCTTTAAACTTGTACATTGTGCGCGAAATTCTCAGAGTCCCTATTTTTGTCCGTGTCTTCTTTATCCTCAGTATCCGAAATTTAGACCTCCAAAGTGGCGTGTGTTGTATTAAATAGAAGGAAATATTTAAAGGAAAAGCCAGTCTTCTAACATAGCAAGTTGTCACGTCCCTCGCTCATAGACGTGCGTAGTGCCATTCATCGGCAACTGAGTTGTTCGCTTCACTGACTACGAAGGCTTACAATCAAGTCTTCAGCCATAGTGTCGTCAACTGGTGAAATATCTTGCTCATAAATTGTGCTTCTTAATTGCTCATGTACTACATCGATCGATAATTCTCTCTTTGAGTTAGCCTGAGTATCAGGCGTTTCTGGGGGAAAAGGGGAAAGATGGAAGCGAAAAAGGGAGAGAGCTGAAGGAGAGAAACGCCTGACACAGATGCTTTTGCTGGAGCCTTCCACCCCCACACAGCATGATTCGATACCATCCAATCAAAATCACATCCGGTCATTGGGTTGTCAGCTTCACGTGTCAAAAAGCTAGCCTAAAATAAATCTCACCATACGGTCTGGCCGAGCTCCGGTGCTTGTGTTGCTACGATTTCGCTTTTCCTGAAACCTCCAATGAGGAGTTTTCGAATACTTGTAAGGAAAACCTGCCGTTTTTGAGGAATTATAACATGTTTTAGGAATTGTGCTAATGTAAGATCGCAAACGCTCTGTTTGTAAATAAACGTGTGCCCGGAAAACTGTAAACTGCTTTTGTTTACATAGTTACAACAGCGGCGCTCATTAATAAGCAGCAGCCTCCTGAGAATCTGGCAGCTAAAAAGCTGCTGTAGATCAGACCGAAAATCGTCCGGGGGAAAATCTAAAGTCAAGCTAAAGCCTTAGTGCTGTCGGATATTCTCAATACATAGCTACCTCGCTCTAATTTTATTTACAGTAACAATACCCTTTTAGCGGCAGGATGTTGTAAATCAAAACTGAGATATCTGAAGCACTGATAACGTCTTCTTTATCCTGGTCTTGTGAAACCAAAACTCGGACATAGTTTCGGTAGAAGCTGGTACATGACGCTTTTCCATACTCCGAGAACATCTTTCGTTTTAACTACGAGGCTTTGAAAACACAATTCTTGCTCGAATTTTATTTTTATTCCCGGAAAGAACTTGAGAGCGCCCTCTAGAATTTCTTTGAATTCCTCTGTGCGTCTCTATCCATAAAATTAACACATGAAATCAAAACACTCTGCTCGTGTTTACTTGCGGGCGGTGACGTCAGGGCGTATTGTGTGTTATCCAATCACTGCCACATCCAGATTCTAGATGTGTCACACGATTTGCTGAATGGTTTTGTGTCAGGCCTTCCTTTCTCTTCTCCCCCTCCCCCCTCCCCCATCAAAAATCTCCTCTCCCCTATCCCCTTAGGAAGGCCTGATACTCAGGCTATCTTTGAGTTCACGAAGCGGCCACGGCGTTCCAAACCTGACGCTCACAGTCATCTTTTAGTGTGAACCTACCGTGAACAGCGTGCCGGTTTGAATGCAACGCGAGCATTTCTCTGAGTTTCCCAGCGCCAACATCATCTAACTGACTTAAACTCGAACAATAAAAAAATTATAGAGTGACTCCCATGATCGAATCGCTTCGAACAACGCAAATAGCCTTCTTCAGGTTCGCAACGCTTTGTGGGTTTTTCAGGGGGAGCGCAGACGAGGTACAAAAAGTATCCGTGCAAGGGTTCGTGCAAGAGAAACTCATATGAAACCATTTGTGAGAACATCGTTTCTCGGTACCAGACCCTCGTGTCTTGCCTCCCCCGGGAGACCACTTTTTGACACCGACGACCGAAAGCCCATTTTATGACTGGGCGCACAGGCAGCCCAGTAATAAAAAGCCGTTACAAGTTTTAAGGTGATTTTGAAATAAGTGTACTATAGAGATTATTTGGGCAAAATATGAAGAAATTCAAAAATTCACGACTGTCAACCGATTTTCGAAAATTACAGACATTGGCTCTTAAGAAGTTACTACCCTGGGTTTTTAATGATATTTGCCCCGGTATGATTTGACTGAGCAAATCAGGGTTAATTAAAAGAAAATCTTATGACACGGTTAAAACTGCGATTTTCTTTAACAAGAAACCTTTTAGAATTCATGAAAAAATTTCAGGCTGGGGGTTGAAAAAACTTCTTGACTCTTGACTCCAAAGGGTGTTTGAATGAATATGTAGCATGTAAATTTTTAAAACATCACTTCTAAATTTACGCGTTATTATTATAATAATAATTTTTATTTTTCAGTTCAGTCGGGTAGTTATACCAAGAGAGATGTTTATCGTATCACGTTGATGGCAACACTAAGACAAATTAAAAGAATACTTGGTAAGTAACCGAATCAATGAAAAAGCGATTTCAAAGTTGTTTCTTATAGAACGTCATCCTGTTTTAACAAACAATCAGCTCAGTTTTCACCAACATTATCTTCCTTATATACAGATATATTCAGTCAACATTTATTATCCTGTTAGACTTTATTCAGAATTAATTGCTGGCTTTCGGTCCTTTTTTTTTCTATTTATTCTTCCGTTGTCTTAAAATTTAATATTATATTTTCCCCAAACTGAGAAAACTCACACCTTTTTCAGGCGTTCCATGTCCGCAGGGCTGGGTGCGATTTAGAGGATACTGCTATCTAGTCAGTAGCTCTATCAAGACTTGGCACAATGCCCAAGCGTACTGCAAAAGACTGGGAGGAAATCTAGTGAAAATCAACAGCAAGGAAGAAAACGAGTTTGTACTAAACCTCGTAAACAAGCTCGCCCCATCGCTGAAGCAGATTTGGATCGGACTCGTGTGGGACTCTCGCGTAAAGGCCTTTGTGTGGTACGATCATTCAGTCCCTACCTTCATCAAATGGGCCCCAAATGAACCAAATGGAAAAGCCATTGAGCCTTATGGCAACATGTGGACTGGTTACGCAGGGATTTCTGTTAAGGCATCTGGCGACTGGAATGATTGGGTTGCAGATGCACCAGCCTGTGGTCTCGTCTGCAAGAGGCTGCCCTAGATGTTAAGCCTGCTTCATTCCCGATCAAAGCCGAAAGTAGAGTGTAGTGGAAAATTAAAGCAGATTCTGGGTCGACATTCTCAAATGCAGACAAGAAAACATTTTAGTGCTAATTTCTAAAGGGTTAAAAAAAGCGGCTTATGACTGAAATAAACACTATGTATCCCTTGTATCTTGTTTGTTTTTTCTTTTATGTAGAAGATTCTTATTCCTGGCCCATTAAGGTCTTTCAGTGGCAGATCCAGGCCTTCAGATAAGTTGAGGGGGAGGGGCGGTCATCCAGACCCTGAGATAAGAGGGGGGCCTGGTCTCCCCACTTTTCCTTTTCGCCCTTCGGCCCACAGTTTGGTCTAAAAATAAAGGAGGGTCCCAGGCCCCACAGGCCGATCCAATGGATATGCAATTTTACAACTCAAGAGATGTTCGCAGAAGTGCTGCTCACTGTTTTTAGATCGTTTCAAAAATATTCTTCACAACCACTTGACAGGCAGTGTGGGAAAGCGTTAAATTGCAAAAGGATGGAGAAAAGCGGGAATATCCGTACTTGTTCTGATTGTTCAGACTGTTCAAGGGAAGACAACCTTATCGACTGAAGATGCATTTGAAAACATTCAGGCGATCCTTATCTAAAAGCAAATTGGCAGCGCAATCGAGTTACAGTTGCTTATATCAGTGTACTTTTTAAAAGATGTTATGTTGCTGACAATGTCGAACATTTCAGCCATTTTCTTGTTGGGTTTCTATTCCGTTATGGTTAAAAAAAAAAAAATCAGAAATGGACGTTTAAAAAACGTGCGCCAGTGTACTTGATCAGCGAAATTTTATTACCTTGAACAATGGTGATCCGTTAAAATCGCGAAATATTTCTATTCCAAATTCGCGAAATTAAAGTCGCGCGAAAATAAGTGATAATATAATGAAGTAAACAAACAAGCACTTGTCTTGTTATTCACTTCTGTTTGACATCCCCTGCAGTAAAGCTTAAGCATCTCGTCTGAAAATGATGAAATAGTCTCGGAGAATCAGATGATTATCATGCTTTTTTTGCGTGTTTTGGCTAGAAAGTCGTTGTTTATATTTACTGAAAAAGTTGCGATGCTTGTAAAAGTTAGTTTAAAGAGGTTTCAAATTACGTATGCAAATTTACTTATATTTTTAAAACAAAATTTCGAAGTCAGCGTTTTATGTTTTGCTTTGAACGGTACACTACAACGGTAAAGGTTATTTAAAACATTTATATTATTTACCATTTTGACAACTATTAAGACCATATTTCTCCTTCTCCATCGCGACTGATCCTTCATGACGCGACCCGACGCAAGTTATGTACCAAAAACAAACGCAGTTTATGATTAATTAAGAAGGTAGCCTTCACATAAAAAATATACAGACACAATTGTCCAAAAGGTCAGATAAGCAACCTATTATTGTTGTTTTTTTTGGCTTAAAGTGAAACTTTTACTCGTCAAAGTGTAAGATAAGGGCTGGGCGCGCATGAAAGCACTGACAGGCGGTGTGAATTTCTGCAGATGGGAAAAAGTAAATTGCTTTCTCGAAATCCTTTTGACTGATGAATATTCAAAAATTATGTATTTTCTTTTCGTAACTGAAAAGCCGATATGAACTCGTTTATTCAGCTTATTCAGTTTATTCAATGAGTCATCACTTTGACGGAGAACTGTGAGAAACAAGAACTCAAAACAACTACTCAGCAATTCCCTGACCGCTGGTGAGACCGAATCCGAGATGAAACTGTTTTCGGCTATTCTAGCCATATATTTGGCACTTTTATGCGCAACAGACCTAGGTATTTTGTAATTTTTCCATACCACCATACAGAGTAATGTTCGCCGAGACCTAGCAAATCAGCAAAAGAACTAACTCAGGGGAAAGCAAAAAACTAATAACACTCATAATTAGGAAATTGGTCACACGGAATAATACTACACTTATTTATCACAATATCGGGAGCCTCTGTATGATACCTGGGAACGTCGTTTTCGTCGAGTTCAGTTTTCCACCAAATCGTCGGTTTTACAAAGAAATCATCTCATATCAAGCCAAATTGTTTTGCGTGGTACTAAACGCTACTGGCGAGCGCAACAACGTAGCGACGGCGACGGCGACAAAGACGAGAAAATAGAAAAGAAACAGATTTAATAAGCAAAATAAAAACACTCAGTGGGGGATCGCACGAAAAATGTTGTAAAACGCAGCCGGATCGGAATGAAATCATCATTTCATCTTTAGCGATCGTTGTATTTCGTCAGAAATACTTCTCCAAAATCTTGGTTATGATCACTTCATCGGCTACAAAAAAGATACTATTAGCATTTTTCCGTGAAAAGGTTGCAATTTCCAGTCACTAGTACTTTTCACAAATTGAAGATCCTACTTAGATATTGTTGATTGATGTGAGTGCAATTTTTCTTGCGGTTCAGACCGGCAGTGTAATTAAACGAAGTGTTGTCAATGACCCAACACTTGCAAAACTGCAAGATATCGAGCGAATACTTGCTGAGTAATGTTGATCCCGCAAAAAATAAACCCCCTCTTCCCCCCCCCCCCACCCCCCTTCGAACTAATAGTTAGACTTTGGTCAATTTTTCTTCCAGTGCCTTCTTTCAAACAACAGTACCCACTGCAGGTACTTATTTTTGCAGTTCAGTGTTATAATTTGGCGTTTTTCGCGAAAAAGAATCTTCGTCAAATTTAAACACGCACAATTCAATGGCCAAATAGTTCATAGAATATTCAAATCACAGAAAAGATGATAAAACATGTAATTATAACAGTATATACACAGTACAATAATGATTTGAAAAATACACGAATAATCCACTGATTTTTAGTAAGTTCCGTTTTGTATCTTCTATGAAAGAGGGTGTTTTAAATTAATTAATATTCGCATACTGAAGAAGAAACTCTGGCTAGTATCCGGCCGGATGCCCATACAGTTAATCTACAACACGAGGAGCCGCAAGGAGTAAAATTTCTGTCCCGTAATTTAATCAGTTAAATCATCAAAGTTGACAGGTCTTTCTGATGATCAAAGCGACCGTTCGGTTTACCATTTACACCTTCAGTGCGAAGACTGTCACGGGAACATTAACACCTTCAGGATAATTGCTTGCCATAACAGTGGTAGGTCGCGCGCGTCTGGTCGGTTTCGAAGAACGTGATCGTGACTGTTGTTTTCATTCAGTGACTGTGCGCGTTGATATGCCAACGTTTAAAACAGACTGCAACATTAAATTTTTGTTATAAAAGCAAAGAAGCTGCCGAGTAGAAACTAAACCGTTCCAGACTTATTCCGTTTCATTCGTGTACTTTCATTTTGATGGGGTCTGTATGATGAATTTACTTCTGCCTTCTAATCCGGCACGTAAAAAACATAGAGATAAAACATTCATTTTGCCTTTGTGGAGTAAATTCATCTTAAAAAAGTTAAACTAGTGGACCACTTTCTCCGCGTACTTGTAAAAATAGGCATTTAATATGTCGCGCTACAGTGCGAAAATCTTCTTGTCGTGGATTAGATTTCAGTATACCTATTGTTAATCTTCATTTCGCGCCAGAATAAATTAGTTTGCGCGCAAAGGGCGTCTAAAAAAAATCACAAGGTTTGTCCCACTTCGAGTCCACCTTCTGGAGATACGCCGGCATGGTAGCTGGAATACATTGCCAAGGCGAAGATCTGGCATTTTTTCCTCCTCGTCTGTTTTTCCCCGCAACGTTTGTTTATATTTGTAGTGAGAATGCCGTGCATATCGGTGGATTTTACTTCAGTCAAGCGGCTTCAGTTCCTGCGGCTTGCTACTCATCATAAAGAAGAGTGCCGGAATCGCTTTGTTCGCCTTTAACAGATTTGTTGTCAAATGCAAGGTAAAAGAACGGACTACTGTAAGGTAAGAATTGAAGTTTAAATTTGTTTCTCGGCGAAAAATAGTGCATACAACTCGTGAAACCCGTGAGTATTACCTCTGTTTAATATACCGGATGTCATGCGATGACCCCTCGTTTTTACGATGGATAAGACGGATACGAACAATAATTTCTTTCGCAACGTTTAGTATAATTTATTTAATATGGAGATCATCTGAGAACGATTTTTCGTTATATGTGCTTCATTTCTTGGCTTATTCCGGCTACGTGCGAAAAATTAGATGACAATGTTTGTGTGCTATAATTATACTGATAATTTCTTGCACCTTGAAACTCATGAAAGCCAAACTTGTTTAACCCTAGCAAAAAACTCTTTTAATGGAGGAACTCAACCTGATAGTTGCACTAAAATCTAATAATTGTCACTGCATTTGCAGGCTCTCTGTAACCTCGTGGGTAGAACATACCTGAAGGTTACGTTAATAATAATCACTGCATTTGCTCTCTGTAACCTCGTGGGTAGAACATACCTGAAGGTTACGATAATAATAATCTTTGCATTTTCTCTTTGTAACCTCGTGGGTAGAATATACCTGACGGTTACATTTAATAATAATCACTGCATTTGCTCTCTGTAACCTCGTGGGTAGAACATACCTGAAGGTTACGTAAATAATAATCATTGCACTTTCTCTTTGTAACCTCGTGGGTAGAACATACCTGATGGTTACATTAATATTACTGCATTTGCTCTCCGTAACCTCGTGGGTAGAATATACCTGACGGTTACATTTAATAATAATCACTGCATTTTCTCTCTGTAACCTCGTGGGTAGAACATACCTGAAGGTTACGTTAATAATAATCATTGCATTTTCTCTTTGTAACCTCGTGGGTAGAATATACCTGACGGTTACATTTAATAATAATCACTACATTTGCTTTCTGTAACCTCGTGGGTAGAACATACCTGAAGGTTACGTTAATAATAATCATTGCATTTCTCTTTGTAACCTCGTGGGTAGAATATACCCGATGGCTACATTAATAATAATCACTGCATTTGCTGTCCGTAAACTCGTGGGTAGAGTATACCTGATGGTTACATTAATAATAATCATTGCATTTTCTCTTTGTAACCTCGTGGGAAAAAAAATTAATGCCTCTCTCCTGGAAATTTTACCCTGTCCTTTCAGCATAGTGATCTTTGGGTAGCGAATTCACGTAAACAAGTAAAACGCTTTTTTTAACAACAGCATTTATATTACTTAGCTTTTTGAGGGAGGTTAAACATTAATGGAATAGAATATAAAAAAAGCTCATAAAGCGGAAAAAGTTATCTTTACAAAATGCGCTTTGACAATGTCAAGGAGTGAAATAAGCTGAGGTTTTGTAGTTAGCCCGAAGAAAACCTGTTCCTGCATGAAAAGCAGTTCTGATTCCGTTCTCTTAACTAGAAGAGATGCATATCCCTGTGAACCAGTTTTTTAACCAGGAGCGATTCCCGCTCACTTCTGATAGTGACACGAGTTCCTATTTCAATATATGTCTAATTCAAGCTTAGCCGCGTGATAGCTCTTCATTTATAGCGAAAAGGTCCAAGTGATATTTTGATTGACGTGTTGTTTTGGATCCTGAGGTTTTTTAACACCTTTTCTCTAGCTTAACTGGCGAAGATATTCTAGGAATTTGCCCTTCAATTCCAAATTCTTTGATATGCCGCCAGATGCCGTGCAAAAATATCACCCCTTGCGGCTCCTCGTGTTTAGAATGTCAGAAACGTTGAAAAAAAAAATCAAGTTGAGAACATTTGAATCGCGAAATTTAATGCCTTTTGTTCATATGCTATCACAGGTAACCCAGGCTCTGTGATAGTACCACCGTACGGTTCCAGTAAAATTACAGTGTTTGTATAAAATACCATCCTAAAATTTCTAGGAAATACTAAATAAAGATCAATGAAACTTACTCTGCAGTTAATTGTTGTTGTCCTTATTGCTCCAATGAAGTTTCGTGATAATTTGCAGTAATTTGTTCAAATTCACTTTATATACAATAATAATATACAAGGTAGGAGACACGAGATGCCATTTTTGCCGACATGCTCTCATTCAACACAACTTTTTCCACGAAATTCGAACTGCAACGAAAAATAAACATGCCAGGATCGTAGAAATAGGATAGCAGCAGATATAGAAACCAATGAAACTTTCCCAGATAGAGAAACGAATCTCAGAGACTTTAACAAACTCGAAGGATATAATCCAAACAGACCGAGAATATGCTCGCCGAAGCAGCCGGGCCAGATCAAAGCGCGGCCAAGAAAATGAGGTCTGGACACTGTACAAAAAATTCCACCCAGGGAGTCCTGAGGTGACCTTTCTGGGGACCGATACATCATTTGCCCAAAGCCACCCTACCCTGCTGAAAAAATACTTGATAGAAATCCTTCCCCAGAAAGGTCACCTCAGGGTGCGATACTGCTATCTTGTCAATAGCTCTATCAAGACTTGGCAAAATGCCCAAATGTACTGCAAAGAACTGGGGGGAAATCTGGTGAAAATTAACAGCAAGGAGGAAAACGAGTTTGTACTAAACCTGGTAAACAAGCTCTCCCCATCGCTGAAGCAGATTTGGATCGGACTCGAGTGGGACTCTCGCCTAAAGGCCTTTGTGTGGTACGATCATTCAGTTCCTACCTTCACCAAATGGTCCCCAAATGAACCAAATGGAAATGGTCTGGAGCCTTGTGGCAACATGTGGACTGGTCACGAGGGGAGTTTTACTAGTGCATCTGGCGATTGGAATGATCTCACTTGTTGGCATTCTGGTTTACCCTGTGGTCTTGTCTGCAAGAGGATATTCCCTAGATGTTAAGCCAGCTTCACTCCCGATCAAAGCCGAAAGTAGAGTGTAGTGGAAAAATTAAAGCAGATTGTGGGTCGACATTTTCAAATGCAGACAAGAAAACATTTTAGTGCTAATTTCTAAAGGGTTAAAAAACGCGGCTTGTGACTGAAATAAACACTTTGTATCCCTTGTTCAGTTCTTGTTTGTGTTTTTCCTTTTATGTAGAGAATTCTTTTTATGGTCCATTTACGTCTTTCACTCTCGAAAGTGGACGAAATTAAGTCGAAATTCAACATAGGTTGCAGGTCTAAATCATCCAATAAGAGAACAGCGAGCAAAAGGAGATAAAAGGGAGAAATTTCTCATGTCAGACATATATATATATTTTTCTAGCGTGCACGCTAATTTCGTCTGCGCGCAGGCTAGCTTTTGGTGGCCAGAAAAAAGCGTTTACTATGACAAACAGGGTGACAGTTCTTTCAAAAGATAACTTTCACAAGCGCTAAATATATATACCCTTGGTGTTATAGCCTTAGCTTAGCCTTATAATATATGTTAAAATTCACTGTGTCAACAAATGACGAAACATTGAAAGCAACTTTGAGAAATGTGCAACAAGCCTTGTAAAGATGAAGTATATACTAGCTTTCGTTTTTTCCTACGAGCGTTTTGAATATTTCCCAATAATTGTATAATTTTTATCGGGCCTTCGGCCATGTTTAGGCCGATTATAAACTTTCCTATTTTTCACAAACACGGAGCTTCGCTGGAACTTTAGCATCTTGTTTTTAAAAAAAGTTTACAAAAGGGTTTTTGGTGAAGTTTAAAAATATTGAAGCTTTTGATCTGGCGCCGGATTCTCGATAGTAGGGACCTTAAAATCTGAGGACGGCAACGGCAGAGAAAACGTCGCTGAAAAAGTGAATTCGCGTTCTTTCAATCTTCATCGCGATTACTCCAAGCCACTAACTTTGTCAAACGTAGGAGAACCCTCCTAAAGTTGAAATCATTAGTGCCATATCCAAGTTCAGAAAGAGAGAGGAAATTTCATCCTCGCTTGTATACTTCCTCTGTATATCGTGAAATTAGGCATTTTCACGTCGTAGTCGTGCAGTGACGGCAAAGAAATGTAGAAAAAAGCGTGATGCACGTGCAAGAATTGTTGTTTTGCTAATTAAACCTATTGCTTTTGTGACGTTCCCGTTGCCGTCGCGCGTCGTCGGATTAAAGGTCCCTAGTTACGTACGTACTGACAACGGCTTCAAAGCACTAGGCTTCCAAAGAACAAATCGGAAAAGCGCAATCATGCATGCAATCCATGTGGACTGGGCCGGAGTTACCCTACCTGCCTATCCGCGCCTCTGGCTTGGTCTTGTTTGCAAGAGGATCCCTTAGTTGACAAGCTGTCTTCATTGATGATCAAAGGCAAAAGTAAACAAAACAAGGGAACTTCCATGGAAGAAACAGGTCAATATAATGTAAAAGGAAACTACAACTGCATCAGGGTCTTCGCATCTTGTCATTCACGTGTTATAAAACCGCCATGCTAGAGAGCAAGAACAACCCTCACAGAAGTCGTTTAGCCTTTCAACCCTTATCTGTAAATAGTCTAAAATAAACAGGAGTTTTGAGTAACGTAAGCGACATCTTAATAGTCATTCAATATATACACGCGTAATACTTGAAACAAGAACGCTCTATAGCGTTGAGTCTCGGTTGCTTGGAGATAAATTTCATTGTCAGCTGGTGCTATTATGCTACTTTTTCGTTAGGAATACAAAACGAGTGTTATATGTCATAATGTAAATACTTGAAAATTAAGATTTGCAAGGAGAGACAGGCCGCACATCTTAGCTTCACACCGGTGTGAAGCCTTTGAAAACCTTCTGTATATTGATATTGCTCCTACAGTGAGGAGAACTCTTTCAGGGATTTAAACTCAAAAGATTGAACGATGATTTTTATCCGAGTATAAATATGTATATCGTCTATGTAGCCCGGTATGTAGCCAACAAGATACGGCTCGGTACAGTTTTTGTTCAGCACAAGAAAAATGTTTAAGTTTAGCAGAACCTTATACGGCAACAGACAGATCATTCAGTTCGCGCGTATTCTTGTTGAATTTGTTGTCCGTCTATTAAAAGATATCAAAATTGCGTGAAAGTAATTACATTTTCCATGGCTGTTTGGTATCTACTTTAAATATCTTCGTACAGTTGATGTTTACGTACGCGATCTCAGGGTACGATGTTTAGAGCTGTACACAGCGTGCATTTTGTCAGGGTATCACTGGGATAAAGCGTTTAATTTTCCAGGAAAATTCCATTTTCTCGTCAAAACAATAACTGACTCAGTGAGACTCGGAGTAGTCTACTGAAATTTAGTGCTCAGTACAGCGAGCGGGGTTAATTTTTTGTGAAATTTGTCTACTCAGTTTGCGGCCCACATCACCACGATCCACGATTTTTATTTATTTATTTATTTATTTATTTTATTTTCAAGTTTTTTTTAACCAAGCCTCGATCCTCGATCCCCAATTCTCGATCCCCAACCCTCCATCCTCCAATCTCTATCCTTGATCTTTGATCCTCGATCCTCAATCCTCGATCCTCCTTTTCTAGTAAACCTCCGACCCGTTCCGGAAAAGCTCGATATGGAATTTCTATTCTATGGACATGAGGTGGTGCAAGTAGACGGAGTATAACGTCAGACGCGTAGTTGAACTTGCTTCCAGTAGTGCTCGAAGGTTAAATCCTTGAATCAATAATCAATAATCTTTATGATGCTTTTGTCGATGTACATGGTTAAATGTTACGAGAATAATGTGCACTGACTAGGAAGCTGAATGAACCAGTTGGTTTTCTTGTTAGCTCCCTAAACAATTTAGGTTCTACGTAGCAGGTGTTGCGGAATTCTTATAACACCGCTCGCTGGTTCAAACAAATCAAGAGGACTGTATCTTTCGATGTGACAACACGATTTAATCCAATCCAACAATCTACGGCGATGTACAATTCCCACATATTCAACGGTCGTAACACAACGACCAACGATTAACGATCAACTAACAACTAACACATTCTAAGTAATAGAGAAGTTTTTGTTTTTTCTACTATCCTTGCGTGCGGCAGTATTTTTACATATACTACTACATGAGAAATTTCTGAAATTTGATTGGCGCAGAGCAGTGGTATTTCAGCTTAATTTGAAATACCCACATTTGAAAATTACAAACCTTTTGTGGGTAGTAGTTGCTGCGGAGCGACCGAACGGAGCGAGCAGCAACATAATCAGGATTTAAAGGAAATATATAAGGGGCGACGAATTCTCGAATTCATCACTTTTTACCACAATGCATTGCATTTAACCACACGTTTTACCACAATGCATTGCATTTAACCAGAGTGCATTGCGCCACGACCAACTCAAATAAAAACACGGGGAAGTTCGGTGGGTGAGAGTGCATCGTTCGCTGCTTAGACTTAGAGTTTTCTCTGTGGCAAATTTTCTACAGCACGGTTAGAGATCTTACCGAATTTTAAGACACGCAGGAGTCTTTCAGATGAGTACGATGGTTAACTTGGGGATTGGATTTCAATTCAAGAGCCTTTGACTCGTCCAGGTGTTAAACCTGACGAGAAGATGAGCATTTGCTCTTCGACTCCGCAACACGAGGGATATACAAATTCCAGCTCGCTAGAAGGTGATGTGAAAGTGAGAAAATGTCATGCAATGCTATTCTTAAGAAACTGTATGAGCCGAAAATGGATGTGATTTTGACATTCGCTTCAAAATAACAGCGGAAATCGAGATAATAAAACATATGTTTTGTGTCCTACTTTGCAGACGAGGACGTGTATCGGCGTTTTGAAAAGCATAATTATGTTCTTTCATTCATTCATTGCCATGGAAGATGCGTTTACATTGTTTTTTCACTGTTAATAGCTCGGTTAATGCGGCCGGCGATCATCTTGCCGGCGGAAGTTTCATGGAAAAGGAATAAAATGAAAGACTTTTACTACAGATTACGTAATCAGCCACTGCGGTGTAGTGGTTAGGTGTAGTCGCGTCGAGTCGAAGGTGCCGGGTTCGAGTCCTACAGAATTATTTTTTCCTGCTTTCTTTGTGTTGTTGTTTTCTATAAATATATAGCTAAATAACTGTTACTTAATAAAGTGCAACAAACAGCGAGAAAAGTATTGTGTTTCGAGAGAAAATATCGTGCACCGTATATTAAATATATGGATAAACAATCTGAATTTCTATTATTTCCTACACTTTACAATGGGAAAACCAGAGTTGCATGATATGATTTTCTAAACAACGTTCCCACGAGTTCTTTCTATAGACTGATAGTAATTATTCTAGTACTTTCCAACATGTAAATAGGACATTCAATGTCATTTTCGATTCTTTTAAGTCTCACTGCCTAACTAATGCCAGTATCAACAGAATGTGCCGCAGCATTACTATCTTTTAGATACACTAGTATAAACAAATAATAGCATGATTTGTACGTGATATTTGGCATAAATACCACTTGTGATATTTCAAAATTGTCTCAAATTTCACCCGCCCACTGGCTCTTGAAATTACGTATAACAATTTC